ATTTGTTATTCACAGCTACTCAATGAATAGTATTGGGCTTCCCACTATCCCCAACCTGTGGTCGCGTCCGTTAGCATTCAGATCTGCTCCCCGAATGCGGAGCAGTCTAAATGACCTCCAAAATTTCTTCGAGAAATCTACCCAAAAAATGTCAATGTTTTCTTTAAAAATACCTTAAAATATATTCTCTGGGAAGTTTCCAAAATCCTCCTGAAAAAGATTTTCAAGTCTTTTTCGAAAAATCTTCATGACGGTCTTCAAGCTTTCCTTAGGGAGACCTCCAATTCTTCTTCAAGACCTCCAAATCCTCTTCAAAAATACCCCAAAAAAATCACCGAGAAGTTCACTAAGACTTCTTAAAAAAAATTCCTCCAAATATTCTCCAGGAAGTCCCCAAAAAATAGTTTTCAAGAAGATTTTCTAGTCTTCTTTGAAAATGCCCCAGGTCTTCTTCAAGCATACCTCCAAATATTCGTCAATCTTTCTTCTTTCCTCCTTCTTCTTTCTTTCCAATTCATCCTTAATAAGATTTGTTCAAGAAGATCGCCATGTCATTAGACGAAGAACTCCCAGTATCTTCACAAATCTTCTTCCGGAAGATTGTCAAGTCTTCTTTGAGAAAACCTCAAAGTTTTCTTCAAAGAGTTCTCCTAGTCTACTTCAACGAGATCTCCTACATATCTTCTTGCTTTCATCAAAAGGACTTCCAAAATTAGTTCAAGAAAATCACACACACAATTTTCTCAGGGAGAAACCCCATTTTTTCTTTACTGAAAATTCACTTCTTTTCCTGAGAGAAAAATGTCATTCTTTTCCTCAGGAAAAAGTATCTTTTCTCCTAAGAAAACGGAGCCATCTTTCCCGCAGGGAAAAGAAGTTTCTTCTCTTCAAGGAAAATACCCTTACTTTTTTCTCCTGATAAATATCCTTCTTTTCCTCAGGGTGAAGATTCTTAAGTCTTCTTTGAGAAAATCTCAATGTTTTCTGCAAGGAGATCTTCTAGTCTACTTCAAGGAGATCTCCTATAAATCTTCTTTTTTTCATAAGGAGCACTTCCAAAAATTAGTTCAAGAATATCTACACGATTTTTTTAAGCAGACCTCTAAACTTCAGGCAAAAAGAGTCATATTTTCCTCGGAGAAAATGGTTCCCCTATTCCTCCGGATAACATCCTTCATCCACCATTTTCTCAGGGAGAAGACCATTTTTTCCTCACTGAAAATACACTTCTTTTCCTGCGAGAAAAGGTCATTCTTTTCCTCAGGAAAATAGTATATTTTTCTCCTAAGAAAACGGAGACATCTTTCCCGCAGGGAAAAGTAGTTTCTTTTCCTCAAGGAAAATACCCTTCCTTTTTTCTCTGGTTAAATATCTCTCTTTTACTCAGGGTGAATATTCTTAAGTCTTCTTTGAGACAAGCTCAAAGTTTTCTTGAAGGAGATATCCTACAAATCTTTTTTTCATAAGGAGCACTTTCAAAATTAGTTCAAGAAAATCTATATGATTTTTTAAGAAGACCTCTAAATTTCAGGGAAAAATGGCCATATTTTCCTCAGAAAAAATAACTCTTCTATTACTCCGGAAAGCATCCTTCATTTCTGCAGGGAGTAGATCTGCCATTTCCTCAGGGAGAAGACCCATTTTTCCCTCACTGAAAATACGCATATTTTTCTCCGAGAAAATGTCATTCTTCGCCTCAGACCTCTTAACTTCAGTGAAAAGGCTCTGCTATTCCTCTGGAAAACATCCTGCATTTCTGCAGGGAAAAAATAAATTTCTCCCTAAAAATACGCTTCTTTTCCTCAGGAAAAAATATGTTCTTCTTCTCAGAAAGTAGAAGCATTTTTCCTCAAGGAAAAGCCGCTTCTTCCTTCCTTCCTATTTCACAAATCCTTCTAAAAATGCATTCTTAAAAAAAATCCATTCCTTAACAAAAAAAACTTTGAAAAAACTACTATTTCTTTAACCCTATTAAAAATCCACCTTTTTTAAAATCCACAATTTTTTAAAAAATCCACCCTTTTTAACAAATCCTTTTAAAAATCCACTCTTTAAAAAAAAAAAAAAACATTTTAAAAATACACTTTTTTTAAAAACTCTTAAAATCCACTCCTTTAAATTTTTTTTAATCTCACTCTTTTTTTAAATCTTTTTAAAATCCACTCCTTTATTTTTTTTTTTTTTAATCCCATTCATTTTTTAAATCTTTTTAAAATCCACTCCTTTAAATTTTTTTTTTTAAATCCCACTCTTTTTTTAAATCTTTTTAAAATCCACTCCTTTAATTTTTTTTTTTTTTAATCTCACTCTTTTTTAAATCTTTTTAAAATCCACTCCTTTAATTTTTTTTTTAAATCTCACTCTTTTTTTAAATCTTTTTTAAAATCCACTCCTTTTTTTTAAATCCACTCCTATTTGAAATCTTTCTTTTCTATTTTAAAATTCTTTTTTAAAAATCCACTCCTTTTTTTAAATCCACTCCTATTTGAAATCTTTATTTTCTATTTTAAAATTCTTTTTTAAAAATCCACTCCTTTTTTTAAATCCAATCCTATTTGAAATCTTTCTTTTCTATTTTAAAATTCTTTTTTAAAAATCCACGCCTTTGAAACCTTTTGTTTCCATTTTAAAATTCTTTTTTTAAAAATCCACGCCTTTGAAACCTTTTGTTTCTATTTTAAAATTCTTTTTTAAAAATCCACGCCTTTGAAAGCTTCCCTTTCTATTTAAAAACTCTTTTTGAAAAATCCACGCCTTTGAAACCTTTCTTTTCTATTTTAAACATCTTTTTTAAAAATCCACGCCTTTGAAACCTTCCCTTTCTATTTAAAAACTCTTTTTAAAAAATCCACGCCTTTGAAATCTTTCTTTTCTTTTTTATATTTTTTTTTTTAAATACGCGCCTTGAAACCTTCCTTTCCTTTATAAAAATTCCTTTAAAAATCCACACCTTACAGCCTTCCTTTCGTTTATAAAAATTCCTTTAAAAATCCACGCCTTACAGCCTTCCTTTCCTTTATAAAAATTCCTTTAAAAATCCACGCCTTACAGCCTTCCTTTCCTTTATAAAAATTCCTTTAAAAATCCACGCCTTACAGCATTCCTTTCCATTTTAAAAAATTCCTTTAAAAATCCACGCCTTACAGCCTTCCTTTCCATTTTAAAAAATTCCTTTAAAAATCCACGCCTTACAGCCTTCCTTTCCTTTATAAAAATTCCTTTAAAAATCCACGCCTTACAGCCTTCCTTTCCATTTTAAAAAATTCCTTTAAAAATCCACGCCTTACAGCCTTCCTTTCCTTTATAAAAATTCCTTTAAAAATCCACGCCTTACAGCCTTCCTTTTCTATTTAAAAATCCACGCCTTAAAACCTTCCTTTCCTTTTTAAAAATCTACGCCCTTAAAACCAATTTTTTTTATTTAAAATTTCCTTTATGAAATCCAGACCTAAAGGCTTCATTTTCTATTTCAAAATTCCTTTAAGAAAACAGCGCCTTATAACCTTCTTTTCCTTTTTAAAAATCCCTTTAAAAAATCCCCAACTTAAAACCTTCCTTTTTCTATCTAAAAAACCCTTTTAAAAATCCCTAACCTTAAAGCCCTTGTTTTCCTTTTTTAAAAAATTCTCTAAAATATATATATTTTTTTTAAATAATAAAATATTTATTATTTTTTTTTCATTTTTTTTTAATACAACATAAATATTTGAGGACTTGTTTTTTTATTATTTTTTTTTCTGTTTAGTTTCTTTATTTTTTAACTACATGGTTTGTTTGTTTTTGGAAAATATATTTCTTGTATATTTATAATTATGTTTATACACTCTCATAGTTTAGCAGTGTTTATGTTTGAAAACAAAGTAACTTGTTATGGATTTTATTTTTAAACCAAACAAGAAAAAAAAAACAGCTGGCCCCCAGAGATTAAACAGTTTACTGTCATGGGGGTTTGTGGTTTTTCCTTACATTTTTTGGTTTGGTTTTACTTGCAGTGTATTAAACTGGGTTTAATGGCTCTTAAATTAAACAAAATAATATTTAATAATAATAATAAGAATAATATAAAGATTTTACATTTCATTTCTTAATTATTTAAAATAAGAAAGAGAATAAAAATGAAACACAAGAGACAACACATATACAATGTTTTTTTTTGTTTTTGTTGTTGTAATGATAAAAATGATTTTAATAATAGTATAATAATAATTATATGAATGTGTAAAAATATATATGTATGTATATATATTAATGATAAAAAGTCTAAAAAAAGAAACAAATGTTTGATGTGGTTATTTAGGAATAAAAAAATGAAATTAAAAAAAAAAAAATAAACAAACAATTTAAAAAAACTTGGTAATATAACTAAAAACAAAAAATGCAAAAGTATGAAAAAATTAACATAACTATATATATGTACGACACGTTCGTTGTATACATATTACAAAAAATGATTATGTATACCCGCAAAGAATTATGTTTATTATTATTATTTTTTTTAATATTTATATATAATGTAGTGTTTGGTAGTTATGTTATAAGGTTATTATGTTTATGTTTTTTGTTTTTATATGATGTTGTTTTTTATGTTTATTATTTAATAATAAAAATAATGTATGTCATTCAAAAAATATTATCATTATTTTTTTATATGTACAGTACTCTCAGCATGTACCTAGTGGGGTAGGGGGGAGGAATAACATTGTTAAAACTAACAAAAAAGTAAATTGAAAAAATAACTCAAAAAATGGTAAAAGTAAACATATATATAAAATCAATAATAATAATAGTTTTAAAAAATAACATTAAATCAATAAAAAAAATTTTAAAAAGAAAAAAATGTATACTTCAAATAATATATAAAAACAAATGAAACATGTAACTTTAATGGTTTTGGTGGTTTTTTGTTGTTGTTGTTTGAAACACATACACCCACATTTTGTTGTTGTTGTAATAGCTATTGGCTTCGTAACGCATCATCTGTTGTTTTTCTTGTTGTTGTTGTTGTATTATTTCTTTGCATATTGATATGACGGCATTTGGGATGCACGATATCGTATATTTGGATTGAGGCCAACAGGTGGACCAGGATTCATGCCGGGACCCCCTCGCCCACTATAATTGGCAGCATTGACAACTGGCAATGGACCGGTTGGTGAAGCACCCACAATTGTTGCAGTTGGTGGCATTGCTGAATGCATACGTTGATTACCTGAAAGGAAAAGAAAAAAAATTAAAATTCAATATAATTTTGAAAAAAAAAATATTTTATATTATTTTGGTTAAAAAAAAAAGTTTTAACAAATCCACGCTTATTTTATGGCTTGAAAAAAAAAATATTAAAAAAAAATCCACGCCTTAAAAAAATATTTTTAAACCAGTAAGGAAAGTAGTAAAGTCGAACTGGACCGACTATATGATACCCTTTACCATTTTGGGTACATTCATCATATGCATCCTAATATGTATCGCCTTTTCGAAAGAATACTAATTTCAGTACATTGTGTCAATCAATTTACATTAAATAGGACAAAATTATATATGGGAGCTATATCGAAATCTGAACGGATTTTTACGAAACTTAGCACACATCATTCTGGACCTAATTCAGTACCCTATGACAAATTTCGTGCAAATCGAAAGTTATATAGGGTCTTTGGTGCACCATTTACATAAAATAAGACGAAACTATATATGGGAGCTATATATAAATCTGAATCGATTTTCTCGAAACTTAACACACGTCATTCAAGACTCAATTCAGTACACTCAGCAAAATTTCGTTTAAATCGAAAGTTATATAGGGACTTTGGTGCACCATTTTCATTAAATCGGACGAAATTATATATGGGAGCTATATCGAAATCTGAACGGATTTTTACGAAACTTAACACACACACATCATTCTGGAACTAATTCAGTGCCCTATGCCAAATTTCGTGCAAATCGAAAGATATATAGGACCATTTACCTAAAATCGGACGAAATTATATATGAGAGCTATATCGAAATCTAAACCGATTTTTACGAAACTTAGCACACACCATTCTGGACCTAATTCAGTACCCTATGTCAAATTTCGTGCATATCGAAAGATATATAGGGACTTTGGCGCACCATTTACATAAAATAGGACGAAACTATATATGGGAGCTATATCTAAATCTCAACCGATTTTCTCGAAACTTAACACACGTCATTCAAGACTCAAATCAGTACACTAAGCAAATTTTCGTTTAAATCGAATGTTATATAGGGACTTCGCGGCAACATTTACATAAAATCGGACGAAAGTATATACGGGAGTTATATCTAAATCTGAACCGATTTTCACGAAACTTAGCACACACACATCATTCTGGAACTAATTCAGTGCCCTATGCCAAATTTCGTGCAAATCGAAAGATATATAGCGACATTGGTGCCCCATTTACCTTACATGGGACGAAAATATATATGGAAGCTATATCTAAATCTGACCCGATTTTGTTCAATTTCAACAGAGTTCGTCCTTGGGCCAATAAGTGACTTGTGCCAAATTTCATCCAAATCGGATCATAAATGCGACCTGTACTTTATTTACAATTTAACATTTTTAAAAAATCCACGCCATGAAAAAATATTTTCAAAAAGTGACACTATGAAAAAATATTTGTCAAAAAATCATGGGTCTATCACGTTTCCTTTTGCCTGGTACAAACGTATGCACAAAGACATAATACCACAGTGTGGTGAAGGGTATAAAAATCCACGCCTTGAAAAATTATTATTTAAAAAATCCACGTCTATTGAAAAAAAAATATTATTAAAAAATCCACGCCTTGGAAAAATATTTTTAAAAATTTCACGGCTTGAAAAAAAAATTTAAAAATTTCACGCCTTGGAAAAATATTTTTTAAAAACCCACGCCTTGAAAAAATATTTTTGAAAAATCCACGCCTTGAAAAAATTATTTTGAAAAATCCACACCTTGAAAAAATATTTTTAAAAATCCACGCCTTGAAAAAAATATTTTTAAAAAATCCACCCCTTGAAAAAAATATTTTTAAAAAATCCACGCCTTGAAAAAATATTTTTAAAAAATCCACGCCAATTTATAGGCCCTAAAAAATGTATTTGAAAAATCCAGGCCTGTTTGTAGGCCTTGAAAAAATATATTTAAAAAATCCACGCTTTGAAAAAATATTTTAAAAAAATCTACGCCTTGAAAAAATATTTTTAAAAAATCCACGCCTTGAAAAAATATTTTTAAAAAATTCACGCCTGGAAAAAATATTTTTAAAAAATCCATGCCTTGAAAAAATATTTTTAAAAAATCCACGCCTTGAAAAAATATTTTTAAAAAATCCACGCCTTGAATTTTTTTTAAAATGAAAGGCTTCCTCAAGCAGAATTCTTCAAGAATTCTGAAGTACATAAAGAGTACTCTAGGGTCCTCCAAGGCCTCCTGAACATCTTCAAGTGGACCTCGAGGTCAAAAACCCAAAAAAAAAAATCTTCTTTAAGATGATCCTCAAGTCATCGTTGAGGCCTTTCAAAAGACATCCAAAGTCTTTATAAGGGTTTAGGTGCACTTCTAAATATGATTGCAAATAAAAAGAATCAATCCCATTTACTATTCAAAAAAAGTCCTCAGATCTAGTCTTCATCAAAGAGACTTCCAAAGGTCAAGGAGACTTCCAAAGGTCAAGGCGACCTTTGTTGAAAAAAGGCCTTTAGCTCTTTTATGTGGGAGAAAAGGACCTCCAGTTTATTTACGAATAAAAAATATATTCATCCTCTTCCACGAAGAATATTATCAAGCTCTTCCTTGAAGAAAACCTTCAACAATGTTGTAAGCTTCAGATTCTTCTATGCTTAAGCCTCTTCAATAAAGAACGCCTTTAACCACTTCAGCTCCTCATTACTGCCTTTAATAAGTTTTCCAAATATCTCTGCCCGGGTTTGCCCAATCAGTTTTCCCCTCTAATTCATGTTCTTTTCCTTTGGCTGTGCTTTCCCTCGATACTAAATGCGGTTAATAGTAGGACACTGGATATTTACCTGGCACATAAGGCTTCATTTGGTGGTAAGAATTATTATGGGGCCTATAGTAGACAGCAGTCTCATCGTTATGATGATATTGTTGCGAATGAGGTTGATATTTCGATCTACCATTATTGTTGTTGTTATTAGGACCACCACCATTATTACCACCACCTCCCATACCATTTCCACCGCCACCACTACGACTTCCACCGCTATGTTGCTGATGATGCGGCTGTTGATGCTGCTGCTGTTGTTGTTGCTGCTGTTGTCTTTGTTGACGCATTGTTATTTTCTTGGCCGCCTCTGGATCTTCCATTAATTCACGAAACTGCTCCTGGCGTATATCATCGTGTTTATCGGGAATCAGGTAACGTCTAAGTTCTGCCAGGGCGTATGCCATGCGGGCATATGCCTCAGCCGGTGGTGCTACAGTAGAAACTTCAACGTGTAAAGGTAGATTTAGGTGGGCATACTTGAAGTCGGCCGAATTGCGTAGTTCCTCTTCGCGGGCACGATCCTTCATGGAAAAACGGCCCAAAATGACTATTTTACATTGGGTCTCCTCCTGCAGGCGACGCAAGGAGTTGCCCTTGGGGCCCAGCAGTTTGCCAACGTAATTAAACTGCAAGAAAAAGAAAAACATTAATTTTAGGCTGCCCATGTAAGCCAACCTCCCCCCTTCCACCCACCTTCCTTAATTACCAGGCAGGAAAATGGTGGAGGACGAGAATACATACCTTCTTATTCTTAATAGGCACATGAACCTTTTGGGTTAATTTTATGGTACGTTGCTGATAGACATCGGCATATTGTTCCCGGGCCGGTATACGTCCATTCAGTTGAATCCTTTCCAGCGCTATTAGATAACAAACAAACGGAAGCAGGCAAGGTCATTCATTGAGTTGTTATTAACAAAGTATACCACCACACACATTCACACACACACACTCACCTTCATCGATTAGTTTCACAGCCAAGGGAAAGGTATTTTCCAATTTGGAACGTTCCACCAACAGCTCCTGCATGTACTTTTGGGCCGCCTCGCTCAAACGCGTTGATGCCTTGTCCGAACTGCCATGCTGGTCAGCTGCTCCTCCTCCTCCTGTTGATGATGCATTGTCATGCAGATGACCATTTACACTGACACCCCCACTATCGCTAGACTCCACACGCATACCGTTTTCCGCCATTTATTTGTGTTAGCAGCAGCAGTAGCAACAGCAACAAACCCAACCAGCCAACAGAGCACAACAGAGCAGGCACGACAGACAGCAACGATGACAACGACGACAGCAGCAGTAGCAATAGCACCACCACACAATTTATGAAACCCCGGAAAAACTTGATTAGCGATAATTGGATGCAAAAATCTGTAACGCGGCAAATCGTTCTCTATGCGCACAACACCAATCTCTCCAATGTGGCCAACAATTTTGCATAAATAACTTTGGTACCCTTCACTTGACTTGTGTAATTGTTTAATAGTTAATTTGTAAAAAAATACATAATAATTGAAAAATACATAAATCCACCAAAATGAAATGAAGAGAACGAAGCCGTTTTAAATTTCCTATCAATGGCGGCGTATTAATTTTTTTTGTCATTTATTTTTGCACAAAAGGTTCTTAAAGGTCATGCTGTGACAGTGACGTATGCCAGCTGGCAAAGTGTATGGGAGAAAAAAAGGGATCTGTAGATCGAAAAATGACTGCGTTTATGTAAATGTCGCTACAGAAGAAATTATGGAGTTTAATGCATAAAAAATGAAATAAATTGTTTATAATAAATGTAAAAAATGTCTATATGTGTGTAGAGAGAAGAGATAACATGAGAAAAAAATATAGATATAAAATCCTTGCATGACGTGTTTTCCTTTGAAAAAAATTGTTGCCAAAAAATTCAAAGCCGCGTTTAGATTATCTTTTAAATTGACTCGAGTTGTAAATCCTAGCCGTTTAGATTAGTAATAAATCAATACAAACGAATGTCAGCTGTTTCTTCTCAGGTCTAATGTCAAAAATTCGGACGTTCTTTACGTTTTCATGGATTACGTCACAATAATGGATTTTGACAGCAACCATGAGAAACAGCTGATACGCAGATAGTCTCCTTATTAATAGGCCTTGATTAAAGGTACGTTTAGATCCACAAAATCTACTCGATCTCAAATGTCAATTCCATTGTGTAAACGTCAAATATAATCCACTGGATTGGTGAACTGGATTTACGTGACGTATACGCAATGGAATTGACGTTTGAGATCGAGTGGATTTAGTAGTCTAAACGTAGCCTAAAATGGTCAAAAGTTGATTTGTCAGCTGTTTTGAATTTTAACGTATTTTTTAAGCATACTTTTAGGAGAAGTGATTATTTAGTACAATAAATTCTCTTTATAAAAGGTACCAAATCCTAGCTGTGTGGATTAGTATTAAATTGATCTAATGTTGATTTATCAGATGTTTTGAATTTTTACGCATTTTGAAGTATACTTTTAGGAGAAGTAATAATTTAGTAAAATAGCAGGGTTGTATTTGAAATTATCTGGATTTAGCTTAGGATAGTGCACATTATAATGATAAAAACTATAGTCTCAAGATTTGTTGGTGCATAATTTTGTATTACACGCTTGGTTATTGCTTTAAAAAATTAAAAAGAAAACAAAAATATTATTTAAAAAAAGCAACTCTTTTCTATGGCCTCACATTTTTAATCAATGTTATTTTTTTTTTTAAATAAAAAAATATAGCGCTTCATATAAAAGTGCTTCTCAGAGGAAATCAGTAGGTGTTATAGCCGAACTTAAGTTCTTCCTCCAGAAGATCTTGAAGTCCTCTTATGGAATCACTTGAAGTTTTCTAATAGAAGAGCACGTTGTCTCCTTCACATTTTGCAAAACTAACTTAAGAAGTAACTTAAAGAAGAATAGCGAATTTCCTTGACATTTGAAATCAAGTTGATTTAGAAGTCTAAACGTGCTCTCATAGAAGAGTTGGTGGTATCTTTACACTCTTTAAGCTAAAATGTAAAGGAACGACAACAAAACATAAATACAACTGTGAAATCCAGTCGTATATAAATCTACTATAACTTCGACTTCTTCTATTTATAGAAGATTTCTCTTCAATTTTTTTAGTTCATGGTAGGCGTAAACTTTTTTATATGACTTTGGCATAACAAGCCATAGTAAGAAAGTAATTGTAATTTACAATTTGCTATGGCCTACCTTTAATAATTGCCATGCCAACAACTATACAATTATTCTCAAATTTTCCGATATTCTCTTTTATTCCAGGAAATATATATATATATGTAGAAGACTTCTTCGGATATATATACACCGAAAAAGTTTTACGGAAATCATCATTTATTTGAAAGATATAAAACACATTCGGTGTAAATGTATCATAACTTACTATTCATAAAAATAATATCATATATTTATATATGACTTATTTTATTTATATATCGTGTACAGCAATTTAAAAAATATCTATTTTTTATTTATCTTGTTAAAACACGTTTTCCCTCATTGAGACTTCATTAATGTCATATTGTGCAATGTGAACCACCCTTTCCCATGCAATTTCTTCAATTCGATTAATGTTTATCGATTAGTGGTATATATCAACATCTTGCCCTCTTTCGATTTTGAGAAACCTATTTTAGATCATTTTCGATCTATAGAACCCATTATCGCTAAGTCTTATTGTCCATATTAACAAATTTACAATTAAATAATTAACTTTTCTTAAACAATGGCCAGTGAAGATCTGTTTGCCAGTGAAGATTTTTCCGAAGAAATCATATCACAATTAGAACAAGATTATGTACAAGAGGCAGATATTGTGGAACAAGATGATGGCGGGAAAGACAATGATGAGACTGTGATGGAAGAGGAAACTGGCCCGGGAGATGATGAAAGTGTGCCGGCCACAACAACAGCAACAGATGAAACACAATGTATATGGAATAATAATAAATTTTTCAAATAAAATTTAATTTTTTTGGTATCAATTTTAGCCAACAAATCAAAGACAAATGTCTCAGCAGCGGCATCTGAAGCCCGCCTTTTTCAATTGCCTTTGACGAGAGTGCGAAATATCATGAAATTGGACCCAGACTTACACATTGCCTCCAATGAGGCTGTATTTTTGGTAACACGAGCCACTGAGTTGTTTATACAATCCCTGGGCGTGGAATCGTATACATTTACCGCCCAGGCCAAAAAGAAAACTGTACAAAAACGTGATGTAGATTTGGCCATAGCCGCCGTGGATAGTCTTATGTTTTTGGATGGAGCAATGACATTTTAAATGTTATGCAAAATAAAAACAAATTTTTTTAAGTATTTTTTCTAAATATATTAATTCTTTATTTAAGTTTCTTTTTGTAAAATAAAAATATTTGTTTTATTCTCTTAATACTTACTTCGATTTTGCCTTTCTTCGTATTTGTGAAGAATTTGGTGTCTTTATGTGATTAGAGTAGTTCGTATTGTTAGGAAATTTTTTTAGCCATTTTTGTTTGTTTAGGGTATTTTGTATTTTTATTGTTGTTTGTTCTTGATTATGGACTACTTAAATTATTTTTTTAGAAATTGTTTTTGTTATTAAAAAATAATTTCGGTTTATTTTAATTGTGTCTGGAGATATTCATTTTGGGTTTCTTGTTTTAATTGATTTAAAAAATAGTTTAATTATACTCAAATTTTTAAACGTTAATATATTTTTTAAAAGTATTGTTTCTTTCTTTAAAATTTAATGTATATTTTGTTTTGAGATTCATTTCTACATACAGTGTTTTTTTGGGTTGAATATTCAGCATACCAGCAATAAATGCTTCCTGTCTGCATGGTGTGTTTGGGTGTTTATACGATTTGGTTTAAAAAAATTATTTTGAAAATTGTTTTGGGTTTATATATTTAAAACCATTCTTTTTAGTTTTATATTAAAAAACTATTTTTTTGAAAACTGTAATATAGTTGCCACATAATTATCACAGTATTAGAGAAATTGGTGTGTTTTGGTTTATTCATTTATTTAGACATTCGATTACACCATCATTTTAAAATTTTGTATTTTTTTACTTTTAATTTTGAAATTTGTTGTTTTGTTGAGTTGTTTTTTCATTTTGCTTACAAAACAAGAAACTTTATGTTGGCTCTGATTATCAAGCTGGGAAAAACTGTATGCATTTTTTATCTCTCTCCCCTCTCCACAATATATGATATATTTCGGTATTTTTTTTTTGCTAGACATATTTTATTTTGTAAAATATTTTAGGTTTATAATAGTGATTATTTTGATATTCATTATTATATATTTAAAACCCCCCTGACAAGAATGAGACATTTATGAAATGTCAAAGAGTGAGGTTATGAAATAATTTAGAGGGAAATAATAGATTTTTTTATTAAAAAAGTTAGGTTATAAATATTTTTTATTGTTGTCAAAGTTATTGAAAAAAGCCACAAAAGTTATTTGTATTAAAAAAAAGTTGGGTTATAATTAATTAAAAAAAGAAAATTGTTTTCAATTATTTTTTTTTTTTTAAATTTTGGAAAAAAATTTTAAAAACTATTTTTAAAATTTATATTTTTTCATACTAAAGTTGTCAGAGTCATTGAAAAAATGCCACAATTTATTTTTATTAAAATAAAGTTGGGTTATGATTGATTTAAAAAAGAATTGTTTCCACTTACAAATTACAATACGAGGGAAATAAGAGATTTTTTTTATTAAAAAATTTAGGTTATAATTTTTTTTTTTGAAATTTTTTGAAGAAAAAAGGTCAAAATTTATTTTTTGCCAGGTTGAATTGAAGATTTCCTATAGAAACCGTAATTCAGCCAAGCTGAATTGAAGATTTCCTTTTGATATCTTAATTCAGTCAAGCTGAATTGAAGATTTCCTATTGAAATCTTAATTCAGCCAAGCTGAATTGAAGATTTCCTATTGATATCTTAATTCAACCAAGCTGAATTGAAGATTTCCTATTGAAATCTTAATTCAGCCAAGCTTAATTGAAGATTTTGCTACAGAAATCCTAATTAAGCCAAGCTGAATTAAAGATTTTGCTATAGAAATCCTAATTAAGCCAAGCTGAATTAAAGATTTTGCTATAGAAATCTTAATTCAGCCAGGCTGAATTGAAGATTTTGCTATAGAAATCTTCAATTCTTAATTCAGCCAGATATTCTGTGGAAATTCGAGTTCAGCCATGCTGAATTAAAGATTTTTTTTTGACCAACTGACCACAATTTTTATTATTTTTTTTAAATTTTCAAATTTCATAAATGCCTCATTCTGCACTCAATTTTTTGTTTTGTTTTTGCTGAATAAAGAACTGTTGTTTTATATCGGTTTTAACCGAATTTGTTGTTTTTGTATTTTTTGTTTTTTTTTTTTATTTTATTTCTATTTTTTAATCATTTGTTTAAATATACTTATATTTCAGTACATTATATATATATTTGTTGTTGTAGTTGTTTTTGTTTTCTTTTTTAATATATAGTTATGGATTATAATATGGTTTTGGGTTATTCCTTTATACGCAGCTCTTGTTGGTTTAATTTTTTTCTTTGAGGTTATGTCAACCACACCAAAATTTTTTGTTTTTGGAATTATCTTCATTTTGGGTTCTTTAAAAATAGTATTAATGGGGGAGGGAGGATGGATCTCTTGCCTCCTCCTCTCTGTTCATTTCCTTAACTTTTTGTATTTTTTATCCTTTCTTTCTTTGCTTTTCGTACTTTGCTGCTGCTGATATTGTTGTTGCTTTTGTTCTTGTTGTTGTTATTAATTTTACTTGTTGTTGTTCTTTTTTTGTTTTGAATTTGATATTAACGTATTTTTGGATACGGTGCTGAACGATAGCGTACACTTTCTCGGGAACGGGAACCACCGCCGCCAGTCTCATAATGTGATGATGAATGGGCTGTTGATGTTGGCCGATATGCCGACGATGAGGAGCGGCCATTACTGCTTTTAGCTACATATTTTTTTGAGGGGGTTTTCGGAGGGTTTTTGGATGTTTGTGTTGTTGTTGTGATGCGAAAACGAAAAATAAAATAAATGGGAGAGTAGGATTTGGAATTTGAATGTTGTTTTGGTTTGATTTGATTTAATTAATTTGATTGAGAGACAGAGGGGGGTTTGTTGTTAGGTTGTGTGGTGAATTTTCAGTTGAGGTAGAAAATTGTATTAAGTTTTTTATTGTTGTATTTTATGTATATTTGTTTTGCATTAATCCAAAGAGGTTTTTATTAAATAATTTATTGTTTTTTTTTAAAGATTTTGGGTTTTTTGTTTAGCAAAAAAATTGAATTGACTTTTTTTCTTTTAACTTTTTTTCTTCGTTTCGTTTTTTAACTGAGTTAAGAGTTATGTATTTTAATTTATGTTTAAATTATACACAATATAACGAATTTAAATAAATTAAAAATTTTTATTTTTTGTTATTTGAATTTGTTTAAACCGCGTTGCATATTTTTAGGTGTTCGATTTTTTGGAAAATATTTTTTTTTTGTACTACTATAACGAATTTATATAAATATATATATATTTTTTTGAATATTTGAAATTGTTTAAAATGCGTTGCCTTTTTTAGGTGTTTGATTTTTTGAAAATTTAATTTTTTTTACTATTTAAATTCGTTAATAAATCATGTGTTTATGTTTTATTGTTCGTTTTAAATTGTTGTTTCTTTTTTCTTAATTATTACTGAAGTTACTATTTTTTATTTTATTTTATTTCAATTCAATTTTGTTTAATTAAATTTCTATTTTTTTAATACGTTGTTGTATTTGAGGATTTTGTTTTTTTTTTTTAATTCAACGTAGTTTTTCTTGCATTTTGGCTGTAACAGAAAACCTTTTTGTTTGGTGGTATGGAAAATTGAAAAACTTACCGGCATAGGCCGCTGCGGCATAGGAAGAGGAATGCGGATGATATTCACGGCGATAGTCACGTTCATATGACGAACTTTCATAGGCTGCATGATGGGCACTTGAATGTTTGGCCGATGGTGGTGGTGGTGGGGTGCCATAACGATCATATTCACTGGGATGTTCATACAGATCATGTTCACGGGGTCTACTCCAAGAGAAAAATAAGAATTAATAAAAAAAATCGTTTCCAAAAACCCACCAAAAATACCTGTGAGATTTTATAATCGGATAACTGGGATCATCCATGACATATCTGGCCTTTTCCAGTATCGAATAGACCTTGGGTTTGGATTTTTCAAAGGGTGGTGGTGGGGGAGGAGTCCTAACAAAAACAAAACAAATTTAAATTTTTCATGTCAAATTTTCCCAAAAATCCATCTCCCTTTCCCTTCTTACCTGCTGCTATAGGGTGGTGCATGTTCACCATATGCCTTGGCATAATGTGACTTCTTATAGAACCGCTCCTTGCCATCCAGCTCACGCATTTGTTCCATACGTATATCATCGTTTGTATCGGGTATCATAAATTTCCTTACCTCAGCCAAGGCATAGGCCAGACGATGATATGCCTCAGATGGTGGGGCAACTGTTGATATTTCAATATGTAGATCACGACTCAGATGGGCATATTTTAAATTTCCCGATTTCCGTAGCTCCTCCTCTTTGGCATGATCACGCATGGAGTTGCGTCCCAAAACGGTCATCTTACAAAATGTTTCATCTTGCAGCTGGCGCAAGGTATTACCCTTGGGACCCATTATTTTGCCCACAAAATTAAATTTGGGATATTCCTTGATGGGGAACCACACCTTTTGGGCCACGCGAATGGGCTTTTCGCTATACACATTGGCAAAGATTTCCGGTTTGGGTATACGGCCACTGACCAGTATGCGTTCAATTTCTACAGAAAAAAGAAAAATTTTAATTATCAACCAAACAATGTAGAGGCTTCCAAGCAAATTCAAAATGGCGTCCAACAAAATTCTTCGCATTTCTTTTAGTCACCCACTACTCACCATCATCCAATAGCCTTTTACATATATTATACTTATTGGGATCCAATTGTTTCTTCTCCTGCAAGCACTCATCCAAATAGGCAGCGGTCTTTTCATTTAACGGTGGTGCATCATGTTGTGTTGCTGTTTGTGCCTCCTGTTCGCCACCACCACCGCCTTGATCATTATTTGTACTTTCTTCATCGTTACGTGGCCGTTTACGTTTATAATCGGAGGTATCTTCACTGGTATAATCACGGTCATAATCTCGCGGCATTTTTTTAACAATTTATATGGAATTAATTCCTTTTGTTCTTTAGGTTCAATTATGGATCACAGGAAAAATGTGTATAACTTGAACTGTGTAATGCGAGAGAAGAGGTTTTCTTTCTTTCTTTTGTCAGAGATGACAGTTCGATGAGTGAGTGAGTATTTGGGTAGTTGGTAGTTTGATGGCGTACGTCGTAACGGCGTTCAGTCAAGTCAGGTGGCAAGGTCACACATCAATTTTACATTACAAAAGTAGATCTAGCATTGAAAAATTAAGAAAAGTTGCCTCAATAATGAAAATAAATGATTTATTAGATTAATATTTTATTTCTTTTGCGTCCAGTAATCAAGAATGCCTTGAATTATTGAAATATGAAAAAAATAATATTCTCTACATAAGATTTTAGCTTTACGATCAATTTTTGTCAATAAATGTAGGGGCAGAGTTGCATTTTTGAAAGAAATCGCCTTTTTTGGGTGGCATTATGTTCTTTTATTAAAAAAGAAATGGATTTTTTTTTAAATATTTCTCTATGATTTAAAAAAAAGCATGAAGTTTTTAAACATTTTTTTTTCAATGCATGCAAATAGGCTTAGAAAATTGATTGACTAAAAAAAGGCATGGATTTTCTAAAAATATTTTTTCGGGATATTTTTAAAAATATTTTTTCTCTGTATATTTTTTAAAATATTTTTTTTAATGATGTGGGAGCAGAGTTGCATTTTTGAAAGAAATTGCCTTTTTGGGTGTCACCATGTTTTTTTTATGAAAGAAAAAGCATGGATTTTTTTTTCAAAACATTTATTCAGGATTTAAAAACAAGCTTGGTGTTTTAAAATTTAATTTTTTAATGTATGCAAATAGACTTAAAACAATTGAAAAAAATCGCTAGGGTTTACTTCCTTGGTCAGCAACTGGGAGGACTCTCCTTGCTTCGGAGGAGACGCCATGGTCGCTACTGTGTTTTTCACCGTAGTGCTAATCACTGTAGTTTCTATGATGTCTTACTCGCCTGACAAGAGCGAGTAATCCCAGAGCTGATTCGGGATGCTCTTATTAAAATTCGTCAGCAACTGGGAGGAGTCTCCTTGCTTCGGAGGAGACGCCATGGTCGTTACTGTGTTTTTCACCGTAGGGCTAATCACTGAAGTTTCCATGATGTATTCCTCACCTGACAAGAACGAGTCATCCCAGAGCTGATTCGGGATGCTCTCATTAAAATTCCGCTCCATAGAAACGTGAGGGATTGAGGTCGACCATGAAATAGCCTCTTACCATAGCAAGGACTTGGCAGCTAAGCCTGAATAAGCTTGTTGAGGCGCCCAGGTATCAACAAGGCTCCGTTCTAATACAGTCGGGACCCAGACTGCAAACCGTAGAACGCTGACAGGCACGAGGTCGCATGACACCTCAGAGTTAGGGGGAACACTTTAAAAAGTTAGTGACCCAGACCTTTGAGATGGTTATATAGGGGCGCCATTCTCGCATCGTCGACCCAGGAATCAGGGACCTGAGCCTGCTGATTGTCCGCGACTGTTTATTTCTTATTCACAGCTACCCAATGAATAGTATTGGGCTTCCCACTATCCGCCACCTGTTGTCGCGTCCGTTAGCATTCAGCTCTGCTCCCCGAAGGCGGATCAGAACAATGCCTTGGATTTTTTTCAGTGCATACAAATCGAAATGAATATCTTATTAAATATAGATTTAAAAAATCATTGTCTTAAAATAAACACGAATATTTTTCAAAATATTTTTTAGGGTTTACAAATTAGGCGGGATTTGTCAAACAATTTTTTTAGTGTATACAAACAGTTACGAATTTAAAAAAATCACTGCCCAAAAATGTGGGATTTTTTCAACACTTTTCATGGCGATTTCTGTCCCATAAAGTTTGTAACTATTGCCAACTGCTAAAAACATGTGAAAATGATTGGCAAGATGTGAAAACGACCGTTAGAAATGTATCTCGCCTATTTTTCACACAAATAATGCACTATCCTATTGAATATAATCTCATTTTCATAACGTTTTTATTTTATAACTTAAATAATTTAAATATATAAATTATATCCACTAAAAATCGATTTATTTCCATATTTCCCTTCAAAGGACATGACATGAGCGACAAAAACGATCTATAGCAACCTATATTGCAAACTTCACTCACTGGCTTTGTACTCTCGGCGACGGGTTTTCACGAAGAAATTTTAAGTTAAACTTACAACCCAGAGGAAAAAAGGAAGAAAACTAACATTTTTGTTGTAACAGAGAAAGTGAAAGTGTAGTCCTCTAATTTTTATTCACAATCAATAAAAGAGAAATTTCTTTGAAGGAAAAAACTAAAATAAAAGAAATCGAAAAGTGTTTTGTGACACAAAGGAAGCAATCTATTTTTGTTGTCAAACAAATTTTCAGAAATGTATGTTGGCGTCTGAGTTTTTTTGTTCTTTTTTTGCTGTGTTTTTTCTTTGCACAAATACCCGTAAGAGAGTGTGTGTGTGTGAGTGAGAGAGAGAGGGTGCAAGAAGAGTGATATTTGTGGGAAAATTGCAATGGCAAAAATGAAATAAAAGAAATTGTTTTTGTTGAGTGCTGCAGCAGCAGCAATTAAAAACAACTTTCCTCATAGTAGTTGTTGTTTCTTTAAATTTCAGATTTATTAAAAAAAAACAATTGGTGAAATTGAAATTCTATTAAAAGTGTAGACGAAAGGAAAAGTGTATAGAACGCAATCATGGCCAATACCTATGAGGGTAATGGCGACTATTCGACAGGACCACACAATGGTGATAATTCCCATGGCGGCGGTGGCGGTATTGGGGGTGGTGTAAATGACCAGCAGCAGCATCATGGTGTTAGTTCCAGCATGGGTCCCATTGATACCAATTATTTAAATGAAAAGGCCAATGAATATGTTCGAGATTGCCTGAATGAGAAATCTCGCATGGATCGTAAATTTCCCATTGCTGAAAAGCTTTTGGATGCAGGTTGGTTTTGTGGTGTGGTTTTGAAATGATTCCAGAAGAAATTGAATTTTTTTATAATTTTTTATTTTAGAAATTGAAAAGGTCCAAACTACAGGCCGTTTGCCGTCGAAGGAACAAAAATATGCTGACATATATCGTGAAAAGCCGCTAAGAGTATCACAAAAGGTGTTAGTACCCATCAGGGAACATCCAAAGGTATGTTTTGGACAGTTAATGTGTGGGATAAAGGAAAATAAATAATTAAAAAAATCCAAGCCTAAAAGAGCCCAAATTCTTTTAAAAAATTCACGCCAAAGGACCCATTTGGTATGTGGATTTTAATAAAATACAGAGCTTAAAGACTCAGAAAGGGGAGCGGAAGTTATTAAAAAAAAGAAAAGTTATTTAAGAAATCCACGTCTTATAAAAAAATACAAAGAACTCTCAAGGCGAAAGAAATTCAAAGAATTCTGAAGTCGTCGGTTTTTAAAATAATATTTTTTAATTTTTTTTTTCAATTTTTCTAAAAAAAAATTTCTGAGAGCTCTCAAGGCGTGGATTTTTTAAATTACATTTTTTATAATTTGTGAAAGAATATGTTTTTAAAAAGTATTTTTCACTTCTATTTTTTTTCAATTTTTTATTTTTTTAATCTAAATTTAATCTCAAATTTTTGTTTTTTTTTTCAGTTCAACTTTGTTGGCAAGCTATTGGGACCCAAAGGTAATTCCTTGCGCCGCCTTCAAGAGGAGACAATGTGTAAAATGACCGTTCTCGGTCGGAATTCTATGCGTGATCGTGTCAAAGAGGAAGAGCTACGCAAATCTAAAGATCCCAAATATTCGCACTTGAACAGTGATTTACATGTTGAAATTTCTACGGTGGCACCGCCAGCCGAGGCATATGCCCGTATTGCATATGCCATGGCTGAATTGCGTAAATATCTAATACCCGATAGTAATGATGTTATACGACAGGAACAATTACGTGAACTAATGGATAGTACACACATAAGTGAGGAACAAAAAGCGACGGGTTATAAGAAAATTATACCACACAATACATCGAGTGGTGTTGGTGGTGCGGGTGGTACTGGTATATTGACTGGTCCTGGCAGTGTTATTACAGCAAATATGAATAAAAATATGATACCATATAATAAGTCGGGTGGTGGACAAGGTGGTGGCGGTGGGGCAAATAGTGTCTCCTCGGCTGCCGCCGCCTCCTCTGCATATAATAAAAATAATACCGCACCCAAACAAAAGGTTATGTCAATATTGGAAAAGGCACGCTCAGCCATGGAGGAGACTTATGGGTAAGTTAAAAAAATGCTGATTCTAGGGAGGTCATAAATAATTGAAAACTATTTATTTTTTTCTGTGTTTTCTTTAGGCGTGGTTATGAAGATAATCAGGGTTTCGATCATTTACCAGCCACAGGCTATGATCCACCATATTCGGCATATCCACCCCAAACAGCCGCGGCCCATAATCACAATCCCCATGTACCACCAACTGCGGGTATGGGTATGAATCATTTAAATGCTGGACGAGGACCCTATGATACCACAGCTAACGATTACGAGACCAATGATTATACTAGACGTGGCGGCGGAGGCGGTACAGCTGGAGATTATTATCAAAATCCGACAACAGCATATGGCGGTGATTATTACAAATTTCCTTTAGCCCATTAATAAATCAAAAATTCAAACATCACAAATTCTTTTCACCAAAACAGCTGCTGCTGGTGGTATACAGCCAAATAATGGCGGTCTAAATCCGAATCAAACACAAAATCGCAGTCATGTTAATAGGTGAAATTTATTTGCGGCAACAACATCAACCACAAACAATCACTTACAACAGCAGCAACAACAACAAAAAACACAACAACAACAACAGCAGCAGCATATAAATGCCAATAACACTACTGTTATTTCGAATACACGTTGTCCTACAATTTCCTCTTCCTCCACAACTACAACTACAACCTTGAAAATGGGAAATTTACCTCATCAGTTGAATGGCGGTGGCATTGGCGGCATCGATGCACCAGATCCTCCTCAATCCCTTGGAACAGCAGCAACAACAATTGCCGGAGGTGTTGTTGAAACAAATGGTGTTGAATTAAATAATAATAACAACAACAACAATAATTATTTGTACAAATCCTCCTCCGCTATGAATTCGAATCAGATGGCCCTTAAACAACAACAATTGGCAGCGGCTACACATTCCTTGAAACCCAATGGCCTAATTATCAATCATCATCAACAACAAGCTCCATTAGCAACACCATCACCACTACAAACTTCCACACATATTATGACAATACCAACAGCAACACAACAACAACAAAATTTCCCACCGTCTTCAGACACTCTCAACAACAACAATAATAATAAAAATAGTATGAACAGTAACAATGATAATCAAAATGAGATTTTAAATAATAATCATAATAATAACAATAAAATAACAGCTGCAACTGCAGCAGCACCTACACTGTACAACAACAATCTGCTAAATACAACAACAATTACAGGATTCAATGGCCATCAGCAACATCATCATCAACTTCCTCATCCACCACACCATTATAATCATCATACTGGAACAGCAACAACAACAAATAAATCTGCAACATTATTACCACCAATACATCAGAATCCCATGGCAATGGCGGCGGCGGCATCATTGTCGTCCGATCAACAGCAACAACAACATCAACGTACAGCGGCAACCAATAGCTTATTGTTTGTAAGGTATTAAAATCACATTCGATCTATAAACACACACACACACATTCGCTCTATATTCTTACACACACACATTTTAATAGCCCTCAAAAGAGCTTAAGGCAAATTTCAAGGAGTTACAGTTCTTTTGGGGCATTTTCAAATTTGGGGGTTCTTTTCATTGAAGTCTCTTTTACAGGTTTAAATCAAGGGCTTAAATTTTTGTCAAAAAATAGGATTTGGATTGTTTCAAAAAATTTAAAAACCTTTCCCAATATAATACTTTCGAAATCAAGGGCTTTACAAATTTGTTCTTAAAAACCCTGCCATAAAATTCAAAAATCTAGACAATATATTTTAAGCAAATTTTTATACCCTTCACCACACTGTGGTACAGGGTATTATGTCTGTGTGCATAATGTTTGTAACAGGCCAAAGGAAATGAGATAGACACATGGTTCCTTTTGAGAATATGCTTTTTAAGTCGATTTATGCATGTCCGTGTTAAATTGTAAACAAAGTACAGGTCGCATTTTTGATGGGAATTCGATGAAATTTGGCACAGCTCATTTATTTGGCCCAAGGACGAACTCTATGAAAATCGGTTCAGATTTAGATATAACTTCCATTTATATTTTCGTCCGATTTTAGGTAAATAGTGCACCAAGGTCTCTATATATCCTTCGATTTGCACGAAAATTGTCAAAGCGGTTTGAATAAATTTGGTATATCGTACTGAAATATGTCTAGAACGATGTGTGTAAAATTTCGTAGAAATCGGTACAGATTTAGATATATATGTTCGTCCGATTTATGTTAAATAGTACACCAAAGTCCCTATATATCCTTCGATTTGCCCGAAATTTGGCATATCCTACTGAATTAAGTCTAGAACGATATGTGTAAAATTTAGTAGATATCGGTTCAGATTTAGATATATATGTTTGTCCGATTTAAGGTAAATAGTGCACTAAGGTCTCTATATATCCTTCGATTTGCACGAAAATTGTCAAAGCGGTTTGAATAAAATCTAGAACGATGTTTGTTAAATTTTATGAAAATCGCTTCAGATTTAGATGTAGCTCCCATATAGAGTTTCGTCCGATTTCACGTAAATAGTCTCTATATATCCTTCGATTTGTACGAAATTTCGCACAGTGTACTGAATTGAGTCTAGAATGTCGTGTGCCAAGTTTCGAGAAAATCGGTTCAGATTTAGATATAGCTCCCATATATAGTTTCGTCCGATTTCACGTAAATAGTGCACCAAAGTCCCTAAATATCCTTCCATTTGCACGAAACTTAGCATAGCGCACTGAATTAATAAAAGTGTAACCTAACATGTGACAAGTTTCCATGAAATCGACTTAGATTTCAATATTTTGCTTTAAATTGATTTAAATAATTTTGTCCCATTGGAAGAAGCAACTCTATATCTGTCCAAACTTTAGTATAGATTGCAGAATGACCTGTTTAGTTTCATGTTAATGGTCCTTCAAAAAATGCTACGTCTGTTAGGATTCCATCTGTTGAATATACCCAAAGTGGTGAAGGATATCATATAGTCGGCCCCGTCCGACTTTACTACTTTCCTTACTGGTTAGGTTATGTTTTTTTTTTTAATTTGAGGAATATATTTTCTTATATTTTTAAGACTTTATTAAAGATATTTATTTAATTAGTCTTTAAAGGGTATTTTTTTTTTAATTTTAAGGTTATGTTCATGTATTGCTTATTTTTTTTTTTAATTTGAGGATTATATATTCTTATATTTTTAAGGCTATATAAAAAAATATTTTTTTAATCAAAAAGGCTTTAATGGGTATTTTTTAGTTTTAAGGTTATGTTTTTTTTTTTTTAAACACAAGAGACTTTTGAAAATTGTCATACATATATATACATTTTACAATCCACTTATCAAATTCTATATTCAAATAAAATATATATTTCCTTACAGACCTGCAAATCATTCAACACAAGCCACAGCCACAACAACTTTACATGTTGGTAAACTACCGTTTTTGCCAGTGCAATTTATATGAACTCTCAATAACAACAACAACAACTCTCCTAACAAATCAACAACAACAACAACAAAAATATCACCACCACAACTTACCACCCACCAATCAAGCATAATTCTTCTCTCCCTCTATGTTTCTTTACATAAAAAAAAAAACATAAACATAAATATATACATATAAAATAAGCAAACAACAACAACTGAACAAGAACACAACAATAATTATAGTAATTTTTTCATCTTAAATTATATTATATTATATATATTTTTAAATCTTAAAAAAAAAACAAATGAAAGAAAGAAAGAAATCTTTTTTTGATTAAAAACAAAAGACAAACAAAATCATCACACAGAGTTCGGCACAACATGGTTCTCAAGGTTTTGAAGACAAAGGTTTTTTTATTATTATTATATATTAGTTCCAATACCTTAAGGGAAATCAAAAGAAAATACAAAGAAAGAAAAAAATACTCAACAATTTTGTTTGAAAATTTTGCAACAAAAAATTTCGTTACAAAAAAATATTTGCTTTAATTTCGAAAATTAAGAAATCACGAAAAATAAAATCTAGATCGAAACCTTGGCATGGATTATGCCGTCCCTGTGTTACCTAAGGCTCAAAGTCTTATAAAAACAAAACAAGTAAACACACTTATAAAAGAATTATAAAAAAAATTATTTAAAATAAAACAAAATAAATCAAGACGAAAGGGATACAATTCAAAATGAACAATTAACTTAACAAAAAAAACTTGCATACATAAATAACTCTTAAAATATAATATTTACTAAAAAAACATAAACTATATATTAACTTAAAAAAAAAAAACAAAATATACATATATATATATTTACAAACAATATTTAATTATTGTCAACAAAAAGATAAAATAATAATTATATAAAATATATAAAAAACAAAAAAAAAATAAAATAAAGGACAAGTATATACATATTTAAACAATTCTATGAAATTTTCAACAACAAAATATAAAATTTAAAAATAAAACGTTAAAAACAAATCAACTTTAAATAATAAACAAACAACAAATAAAGACAACAACAAGAAAAACAAATTAATTGAAAAGAAAAAACAATGAGTTATATTAAACAACAATAAATAATCTCTAAAAAATAATAAAAAAAAAAATAAAACAACTATTTTTAAGCAAGACAAACAAATCATAAATATGCTAAAAAAAATTAAAAAACAAAACAATTATTTATTAAAAAAACAAACAAAACATAATGAACAAACAGAGGGAAAAAATAAACCAATTTAAAAAAAAGACGTACAATATCACAAAAAACGGGCACATAATGAAATAAACTAATAAAACGATTTTTATCAAAAGGAAAAAAAACCTAAAATACAACAACAACAAACATAAACCACAAAGAACAAAGAACAACAAACAAACAAAACATATTTTCAAATGTTACTCGAATACGGATAATAATGAAAGAGAATCGAAACCACAAACAAAACAAAAAATAAATATATAAACAACAACAAACATGATTACTTTATAAACAAATAAAAACTAAACAAAAACAACAACAACAAACATTTAAAAAATTTAAAAAATATACACATATATATTTATATGAACATACTTATGCGAAATAAAATAAAAAACAAAAACTTTATTAAATATGCAATATATCTAAATGTTATAATAAAAAAAAAACTAAATAAACAACAACATAATGAATCAACAATAACAAAAATTAATAATTATAAATTTAAATGAAAACAAAATACAAAAGAATGAAACACAAAATATAATTGTCCAAATAAAAAGTCAATATTCGCCTATGAAAAAAATGCAAGTGTTTTATTTATTTATTTGTTGACATAACCTCAAAATCGCCTATACAAAATTAAAAATTCATTCATATCATTTTTTGGGGGTTTCATTAGTTTTAATCATTTTTTATTTTTTTATTATATGATTTTTTATTGCATAACCTCAAAATCACGTATGAAAAATTGAAAATTTCATACATTTTAGTTTTTTGGGTGGTTTCATTAGTTTTAATCCAAAAAAAAATAATTTTCTCAACCTAACCTCTAAATTGCCTATAAAAAAAATCAAACAGCCTTATTCTGGATATTCGCTGGGAGATATCTCGCATATAAAAAATTTTTCGCTTTCACATTTTTATTCTGAATGAATAGGGAGACGCAAAAAATGCAGATGCTGGTTAATTTTTGTTAGATTTGTGTTGCCATATTGTAATTTTTACCATATTGTAATTTAAGTGCAATGTGTGTTGCCCCATTGTAATTTAATTGTGTAATATTTTTCAATATTTCATTTTCTTGATTTTTTTAAAAAATGTTTACTTTTTATTGTTATTTAAACTATATAACAATAAAAATGTGAAATATTAATCTGCTGTATAAATGCTTTGTAATTAAAAGATAATAAATTAAAGTTTAAAAATATGGCAACCTACAATATGGCATGTGAAACAGCTTTCATTGTTTTGATGCAATTTGATGCAACAACTACAACTGAGAATACAACAACGAATAATGGAAAGAAATCCAAATTAATTAATTCAGTTTATTATTTCACTACCTAATTGTGTGCCTTTTTATTTAATTTCGATATTTATTTCCCCAGATTCTTAAAATGGCCTGTTATTTTATTTTTTTCCTTTATTTCTTCCATCAAATCATGCACACGATAATTTAAAAAAAAAAAAAAAATTTTTTGTTCTTTCATAATTTTTATTTAAGTTTTTCACTGTTAAGCGGCTAATCAGGCAAATTTGGGTTTTCCATAATTTTTAAAATTTTTTCAGAGACAGTTTTTGTATTTCGCCTTAAAAATCAAACTCGATTAAATATTCCTTATTACCTTTATACATTTCTTGGCAATACTTGCTTCAGCATGCATCGTTATCAAAGGATTTCCAATGGCATTTTATTGGTTGTTTTCCAGTTAAAAATTTGCTTACTATCATTTATAATATTCTAAATCGTCATAGAATAAGTATTGTGTAAATATTTTTCATAAAAATAGTTATTACTTATGTTTTTGTAGTCAACTCCCCTTAAATTTATTATAAAATTTTCGCACAAAATTTCCTACTCCCTGTAATTCAGAATACCTAATTTTTCCCCAAAGCGGATTTTTTCGCTTTCGAACTTCATTCAGAATAAGGCGAAAGCGAGAATGCGAAAAAATTCACTGGAAAATGTTGTTCAGAATAAGGCGAAGGGAAAGAGCGAGTAAATTCACATGGAATTGACATCCAGAATAAGGCTGAAAATGTTTGTTTATTTTTTTTAATCCCAATAAAAACCATCGATTAATTTTTGTTAGATTTACCTAAAATTTTTACCTATGAAAATGTTCACCTTAATTTTTTTTTCAAAATTTCAATTTCCATAATTGCTTAAAAAAAAACAATTTTTTTAGTTAAAAAAATACAATTTAATTTTGAAATTTTTACCTATGAACGTTTTAACCAAAACTCAAAACAGTCCTTATATCGGCCTCTGCTCTAATTTTTTTAAAACATATTTTTATTCCAACCTAACCTCAATGTCTGGCCAGTAAAAAATTACAAGCGTTTTTTATTTATTTAAACATAACCTCAATCTCATGCCTGAAAAAATAGGAGGTTTTTATTTATTTTATTTAAAGCATAGAATATTTCTTTTAATTTTTACTATTTATTATATATTGTAATTGTTATTTATTTTCTTTCTTTTATTCTTTATTAAAACCTTTTTTTTTACAAATTAAACAAAAATCGAGTGTAACATCCCGCCAAATAACGGCTGCAATACATTCTTCTTATCATATCATGCAATTCACTATGAATTAATGACACACACACAATTGTGGCTTACCGTTCACCATCAACAATTTGAAAAATCTCTTTTTAATAGACATATTTTGTTGTTGTGTGTCTTTTTGTACCCAAAAACATCGTTTCGATTCTTAGTAGAAGAATCAAGGGTGTAAAATAATAAAAAACATTAAAAATAAAACATATCCCAAAATAAACCAGTAACTATTCATTTGAGTAACGATTTCTAGATCCCTAATAGCAATTTATTACAATTTTCGATCATGTGAAACCTTTGCTATCATGATTTATTTTGATTCCCGAAATTTATCATTAATTTTTGCACTATCCACCACTTTTAAAACTCCAATTCCCTTTAAATAAGCTTTGAAGTTTATTTCCACGCCGTCAATTTCTCTCTTACCATGGCTTTGTTATTTCTCCAATAAAACACCGCACAAAAGGCAAAGCAAAGCAGCGGAGTTAATGTTCCATTTCCCACACACAAACGACGACGACACAATTTGTCCAGACAATAATGACGGATAATAAAAATTCGTGTGTTGAAACACCAGCCGCTCCCGAATGGCTATCAAAATTAGAAGATCGTCGTGAAAAATTGAAATGTTCCAAATTGGGTCATGAAGCCGGTGCCGGGGCTCCATGTAGTGTATGCGAAGACAAATGTCCCGGGTTGGATTTGCATTTTTGGCGTAAAGTTTGTCGCAATTGTAAATGTCGCAAAGATCAGCATATGTGTCAGGATGATGATACATCGGGATGGGCCCAATTTGAAATTCTCGGTCAGATACGTTCGAAGCCGGCATGTAAGTTGAAATTTTATAAGGACATCAATGCCTGTCCATTTTCCAAAAAAATTATTCCTCTCTTCCCCTCTTTCCAGTTATCAAAATTAAAACCCTGGCCAGCCAACCGGTCAAAGTCGATTGGGTCCCCCCGAATGTGGCCCCAGATGTCGTCGCCGATTATTTAGAAAAATTGGGTAGCAAAAATGTACCCGTTGCCGGTAGTGAAGCCGCCGCCAAACGTAAACAACAATTGGAATTCCAAGTACCACCCCATGATCTGGATGCTGAATTTTGTGATAATCTCACCGAGGCGGAATCAAATCAACTGCAACAATATGTCCAAAAAATCCGTGAAAATTGTGTGGGTCAGGGTAGTGTGGTGCGTGTGGGTAATCTAGCATATGGTACTGTGGCCAATCTGCACAAACCAGCTGAGATTCAAAATCTGCCGGGGGCCTTTAATGAGGCCAAATATTGTGAAGTTATGTCGGTGCTGAAAGAACCACCTGTATCGGATCCCATTTTGGCCAACTTATTGTCAAATGAAAAGCTGTCCAAAGCTCTTTTGGAACCGGTTTCATATTCTTACCCGAAAATATTTGTGGCCTTCTCGGAACCATTGTCGGAGGGGCCACTCAGTGAGCCGGCCTTAATTCGGTTACCGCCTGTGGTTAAGGAAAAACTGAATGGCCTTAATGAATCGGCTGTGGAAAGTTTGGTTCTCAATGGTCCGGTTTATGATAAAATTTTTGCCAATTTGAAAGCCAATAACTTGGATATTTCTCGCGATCCTCGCCTGGGACCTTTGATGGATTTACGCAAGGAATATTTGGCAAATCCTGTGGTCAAGAGGGAACTGGATAACATGGTTTATACACCCACTGTTGGATATAATTCCCCCCTCAAGACACCCTCGAAATTTTTAAATGATTTAGCCTTTAATTCTCCGCTGCCTTTGAAGACGGTTTCGGGGAAATTGAAATTTGGGGCCCAATTGTCACAAGACACACCCATGCGCAAGGTACAATTTGGACAACCGATTTCAAGTATTATACAAGACTGCAATCTGCCGGCAAATGTGGATTATGAACGTGATCCGGTCTTTGCCAATATTTTACATTCCGAACCTTTGAAGCAGGCCATACAAAGTGCCAAGCACCAGGTCGGTTTCCATAGGCCACCAATACCAATAAAAATTGGTTCGTCGAGTAGCACTGTGGCAAGACCTGCTGCTGCTGATATACAGGAGTGCCAATTAAGTGTACCGGCCAAGGAGAAGCTGCAAGCCATGGGTATCACCCATAAGGATATGTTACAAAGTGCAGTGCTGAATGCTCCATTCTATGAGAGATTGCTGAAAAATCTCAATGATATGAATATCAATTATGCCGACTGCGATCAGCTAAAGCCATTGGATCAGCTATCCAAGCAGTTACGCTTGGATCGCCCTCTGTATGAAGAGGTGCGTGAATATGTTACCGCCTTACCGGGTAGTTTAGATATTGCCTATGCGCCCATTAGTATGAATCTGCCGCAAGCCATGACATCTTCACGTAGCACAGATTCTGGTTTTGAATCCAAGCCATCGACACCCAATCACAGTGGAGGTGGAGGTCAGGTGGGGGAATACGATGTAAATGCATTGGCGGGCAGATTGACGGCCATACCGGGTATTCAAGATATGAATATGTATCCCACTGTGGCGGCATCTAGTTTCAGGGATCCTGTAAGTCCCCTAATGCAAAATCTCAAGCTGCAGGAAAGTCATGACAACAAAACCCCTGTGCCTGCTAAACAATTACTTTGTCGTGATTGTGACCAGACTATACAATTCGGTGAGGTAGCCGTCAAGGCAGATCGTGCCGGCAAAGAAATTGCCTGGCATCCAGAATGTTTCCGCTGCCATACCTGCCGTGAGCTACTCGCCGATTTGGTGTACTTCTTCCATGGCGGTCAGGTGTATTGTGGCCGCGATTTAGCGGTTAAATTAAAAATACCCCGCTGCAAGGCTTGCGATGAGTTAATTTTCACCAAGGAATACACGGCCGCCGAGGGTGCCACATTCCACATTAAACATTTTTGTTGTTATCATTGTGATACACCGCTGGCTGGCCAACAATATGTACCCGATGAGAAATCGAATATGCCCCTGTGTCTCAAATGCTACGATGAATATTTTGCCACCGTTTGTCAGTACTGCCGGAAAACGATTGGCCCCAGCGATAAGGGTGTTTCGTGGACCAACATCCATTGGCATGATTCATGTTTTGTTTGTGCCGGTAAGGGGTGTGCTAAATCTCTGATTGGTGGTCGCTTTTGTGTCAAACAAAATATGCCATTTTGTAGTCCTGCCTGTGTGCGTAGCATGATTGAGTAATGAAGGGTGGGTGGGAGTGATGATGCCTTTTATTGTAGAACTTATGATGATAGTATTAAAAGAAAACAACAAGTATTTTTATATACATATATATTTAATATATACATACATTTTTTACATATATATACATAGTATATATATTTTATATATATATATATCACTTTTTATACACATATATATTAGCTATATAACTTTATGCTGTCAGAAATGCACAAAATGAATTCCATTTTTTAAATCCATTTTTTCGAAATATATTTAAAATATATTAGCACTAGGTATTTGTTTTATTATTTTTTTTTTACAAAAAGAAAAAATCCCTGTTCTATTAAAAAATGACCTAATTTTTTTCCTGTGGGAGTCTCATATTTTTATTAAAAAAAGGACCAAGGTGTTTCTGGGATATTTTTCTATAGAAAACATAGACCCAAGGACGAATTTGTTTATAGAAAAAAGGGACTTCTGGATTTGTTTCTAGGCACAAGGTTCTCCACGATTATTTCTGCAGAAAAAAATGTACCTTAGAGGCCTCCGAATTTTTTTATAAAGAATGATTGAATCCTTAAGGGCCCTAAGAAATATTTTTTAAGGTTAAACAAGGGACCCCAGAAAAATTTTTGTGTAGAAAAAATAGACCCAAGGGGCCTCAACACAAAAAAGAACCTCCGGAATATTTTTCTATAGTAAAATATACCCAAGGACACTCAGATTAAAAAAAAACATAGGCCCATGAACTTTTTTCTAGACCCTAGGTACGATTCAATTATTTTTATGTAAAAAATAGACCCAAGGGAGCTTTGGCAACAGATAGATGTCGTCGCCGATTATTTGGAAAAGTTGGGGACCAAAAATGTACCCGTTACCGGTGAAGTGAAGCCGTAAACAACAATTGGTATTCCAAGTACCACCCCACGATCTGGATGCGGAATTTTGTGATAATCTCACCGAGGCGGAATCGAATCAACTTCAACAATATTGTTACGAATAAAACTTTAGATTTAAGTTAATTTAGATGAATTCCGTTAATTTAAGAATTTGAATTGTAACGTAAATTTCTACTACGCAGTTTATTTGAATAACTTCACAACAACAACCACTGTATAGATTTTTCTACATCCTTCCATTTCCTCTTTCATTTTCTATTTTGTTACAATTCTTGTTAAACGTCATTCCTCTTTCTTTGTTATTCCCTCGCCTGTATATGTGTTGTTGTTATTCCTCTTTCTTTGTTATTCCCTCGCCTGTATATGTGTTGTTGTTATTGTAAGTTTGTTTACTCAAGTTTGTTGTTGTTATTGTTCACTCAGTAAGTTTGTTGTTATTGTTACTCAATGTGTTTGTTGCATTGGTAGATTGTTCGTGATATAGGTGTTACCAGATCGTCTAGAAACTTCTGTAGCGACAGGCAGGGCTCATATAAATAGAGGGAATGGAAAGGCAGTGAGTCAGTTGTGAATCAGATCGCGAATTGAAACCGTCGTGTAAAGTAAAGTGCAAAGTAAAGTTGTGTGAATAAAATCATTGTAATAATCGTAATCCGAAAGAACCTGCGTTTTATTTGGTACGAATTGTATCGGGAAATAAAACAACGTCTACACAGGAATAAGTGAAGTCCAAGAACGTAACAATTGGTGTCAGAAGTGGGATTACGATAATACTACGATGAAGTTTAAGGATCTACGAGTGGAAGACTTGAAGAAGGAGCTCAATAAATTGGAATTGTCCTCTACTGGCAACAAGGCTGAACTACAAAAACGTCTGTTGGATGAGTTCGAGCGCCGTGGTATGAACATCGATACATATGAGTTTGACAGTAAGGATGAAGTGGATTTATCGGAAAGGGACGAATCCAACGGTGGGGAAGTCTCGTCAGTAGCTGCCAGGGGTGACGATTTCAGAGAAATGCTGGCTAAAATGTTCGAAGAGAATTCCAGAAACACGAGACGAATGTTCGAAGAGAATTCCAGAAAATTAGAAGAAAACACGAGACGAATGTTCGAACAATTCGAGAATTCGAGAATAATGAACGAGAAACTCGAGAACATTACAGAAGTTATTGGAAGGAGAGTGGAAACCGTGGAGGTCCAAATTAAAGAGTTGGATAAGAAAGTGCAGTCGGTTGACGAGAAGATTCTGTCTGTGGATGAGAAATTTCTGGCCCACGACCATAGGTTTACGAATCTGGAGAAGAAAATGTCGGAACTGGAAATTAAAGGTGGTCCGGTGCGAGTTCCTGATAACACACTAAAAATCAAACCTCCTGTATTCGACGGCTCTACGTCATTCAATGTTTTCAAGTTACAGTTCGAGACAGTGGCTTCTAGGAATTCGTGGAACGACAGCGACAAAGCGGTTGCACTACTTCTGGCATTGAAGGGCAGTGCTGCTGATGTTATACAGAGTATTCCTGTCGCTTCTAGAAACAACTATGAGGATGTTATTGCTGCACTGGAACGTAAGTACGGTGGCGAACATAAACAAAACATCTACCTTATGGAATTAAGGGGAAGAGTACAGAGGGCAAACGAGACGTTACAAGACTTTGCAGCTGAGGTGGAACGTTTGGTGCTAATGGCGTATCCAGGAGAGAATCACCCATTGGTGGACCGTATGAAAATCGAAACCTTTGTGAATGGCATACGTGACCCTGAGATTAAATGTGCAACATATGCGTCACCAAAAAACGTCATTTGCCGAAACCGTGTCGTTTGCCCTTGCCCAAGAGACGGCAAGAATAATTGTTAAGCCCCAGACCCACAAGATTCGCCAACTGGAGACCGAAGGTTGCGATCCCAAATCTCTCGTTAACTCGATCGAAGACGCTATGAGGCGGGTAATACAAGAAACAAAGTTAGTAGCGACGACTAAGCCCAGGGTTAGATGCTACAACTGCGATAAAACAGGTCATATTGCGCGCGAATGCAGATCTAAGCGTAAACGATCCAGGTCATCGTCACCACATCCAACGAATGATGGTAGAAGAATGGCTCAACAGTCCACCAAAGAGTCACCGTTAAACTAAATAGAGCCAGTCCAGCGGGGCATGAACTGGCTCCCATCGACGATGGCCCCACAATCTCCATAGCAATAGTACAACAGAAAAGTCACAATCTAACAACAACTGGGAACATCAGTGGTGAAGCATGAAATCAATACAGCAGACGCGCGACCCATTAAACAGCCTCCAAGAAGTGTTCCCCTGGCCAAAAAGAGACGAGGTCCAGAAGCTGATAAGTGAAATGGAAAAGAGTGGTGTAATAGAACCATCGTCAAGCCCATGGTGCTCCCCAGTGGTCTTGGTCAAGAAGAAAGACGGAAGCACCCGATTTTGTGTGGACTACCGAAAGTTGAATGATGTCACCAAGAAAGACAGCTATCCGCTCCCAAGAATCGACGACACATTGGACACATTAGCCGGGACGTCATGGTTCTCCACCCTCGACCTGCAGAGTGGGTACTGGCAAGTAGAGATCGCCGAGAAAGATAAGGAGAAAACAGCGTTTGGCGTTAATGGGGGTCTCTGGCAGTTCAATGTCATGCCATTCGGACTCTGCAACGCCCCGGCTACATTTGAAAGGCTGATGGAGCGTGTGTTAAAAGGGCTGCAGTGGAAGTCATGCCTCATATATCTGGATGACATCATAGTCATGGGACGCAACTTCGACGAACACATCAAGAATTTAAAGGATGTTCTTCAGCAGCTTTCGTCTTCAGGCCTCAAGCTGAACCCAAAGAAGTGCAGTCTCTTCCAACGAGAGGTGAAGTTCCTGGGGCATCACGTGACGCCGGAGGGCATATCGACGGATAAGGAGAAAATTCAAGCCGTCAGAGATTGGCCGCAGCCCCGAAATCTCCATGAGCTGCGAAGCTTTCTGGGTCTCTGCACCTACTACCGTCGATTTGTCCCAAATTTTGCCAACATCGCCGCCTGTCTACACCGCTTAACGCAAAAAGGCCAGAGGTTCCAGTGGGGCAACGACCAAGAAGAGGCGTTCAGTAAACTCAAAGACATGCTATGTAGAGCCCCCATTTTGGCATACCCTATACCTGGCGGAAAGTTTGCTCTGGACACAGACGCAAGTGCGTGCGGCATCGGTGGCGTCCTTTCCCAGGAAATCGACGGACAGGAAAAAGTCATCGGGTACTACAGCCGGACATTGTCGAAGCCTGAGAGGAATTACTGTGTGACGAGGAGAGAGCTGCTTGCTGCCCTTGAGAGCGTTAAACACTTCCACAAATACCTATATGGTCAGCATTTCCTGCTGAGGACCGACCACGCTGCTCTCCAATGGTTGCTGCGGTTTAAGAATCCGGAAGGTCAACTAGCCCGTTGGATCGAGAGGCTCCAGAGTTATGATTTCAGAATCGAGCACAGAAAAGGCGGAAAACACGGTAATGCTGATGCCCTGTCTCGTCGGCCATGCAAGGTAGAATGCAGGCATTGCTCAAAGGCTGAGAATAAGGAGAATATCGTTGATGTCCGACTATTGCAGTTTGAGTCGGGTGAAGATTGGTCGACGGAACAACGAAGAGATCCCATTCTGGGCAAAGTAATTTCGGCCATTGAAACGGGCAAGCGACCTAGTCGTAAAGAAATTACCTCCGAAAGCCCTCTTTTAAAATCCTATTGGGCCCAGTGGGACAGTCTACTTATAAAAGATGGCTGCCTATATCGCAAATGGGAAAGTGAGGACGGTAAATCTCACCGGAACTTGATCGTCGTCCCAGACTCCAAAATAAGAGATGTCTTGTCGGAGTTTCACGATGGGCCAAGTGGAGGACATCTTGGCATAGCAAAGACCGCTGAAAAGGTAAAGCAGAGATTCTACTGGGTCGGCTGTCAAAAATTCATTGCCGACTGGATCGCCAATTGTGAAAGGTGCATAAAAGCTAAAGGTCCAACACGGAAGAGTCGAGGCTACATGCAGCAGTATAATTCAGGAGCCCCTTTTGAAAGAATCGCAATGGATGTAGCTGGACCGTTCCCCACAAGCGACTCTGGG